ATTTAAAAACATAACTTCGAAATCCATCAAAATTTACTTATTGTGAAAATCTTCCAAATCTTTGCATTCTGTAATACTCACTCATAGACATTTTAATATCAAAAATTGAATAGACATTTGAAATTCTAAATTGAATATTTTCAAATTTTCACATTTTTTTTCAAATTCTGAATTGAATATCCATTCACTTCCAAAATTGCAAAAAAAATCCTTCAAAATTTGAATTGATTACTTCATCCATTCAAAAAAATATCGTCTCATTTTGAATAAGGTGTAAAAATTTCATTTTTTTAAAAATTATTCTCTTTATAAATTAGTATATAAATAAAAAAACACTCTTACAAATTATGTATTTCAAAACATAATAAAAATTCAATAAAAAATATAAAAAAAATTGTATTTCATTTAATAATCAAATACTCGGTAAAAGTGTTTGCCCATCGGAGGATTTAAGTCTATTCAAGAAGTGTTTCATCAAGATAGATCAGAAAAAAAAAAGAAGATTAGATGGTTGAAAGACTTGGGGAAGCTCAAAGACCGAGGAATGAAGAGAAAAAGACAGTGAGTTATCAAATCTCCAGTCTCAAGAATCCCACCAATGTTTTTTAAGTTTTCGTATTTTTCCTTCTTGGCTTTGATTTGCTTGGCAACTAAATAAATCCCCTCAAATTTCACCATTCCTGGCAACTAATCCCCAAGAAGTGCACCTACAAGTTATAGGTAGCCATAGCTACCAGAATAAGGAGTCGGGTTTGACCTTTAGCCCCATGCCCTGCAGTACTACTTCCTGATAACCGGTGTTTCAGATGAATAAATCTAAGATGGTGGTGAAACCACGAAACGCGGCTTTAAAACTTCTATCTATGCCAAGCCAATTTTAACTTAGCTTTCAGTTTCATAGAAAATGAGTTTTGAGCTCAGGAGCTTCAAATTTTTATTTTTTTAATTTTTTAATGAACATTTTGTAAAACTAAAATACTGAAATTTCATTAACTAATGAAATTTAAACGAAAATAACTCAATAAATAAAAAAAATATATTAAAAATAACATTTAATAAAAAATACATTAATAAAAAAACTAAGACGAATTATATTTGGCCTTGATCTCTTTTTGTATTCTCTCATAAAACATATGTTTGAAGCCCGTCAACATATCAAGATCGGTTTCTATTATTTCGTCATCTTCCTCCTGTTACAGTCTTGCCTTCGCTTATCCTTCTCTTCTTCCCTAATATTGAACACTCGGTAGGAGACGTTCTTGTTTATCGCTGCAAAGAACTTCTCCTGGATACGATCCCATATTGCATCTTTCATTTCCTCGGAACTTTTAAGAAATATATAATTGAACGAAAAAACATTTTAATACAAGTATATAAAATATAACATATATACAATATATATTTAAGAAAATATAAATTTTGGGAAATTTACCTAAATAAGACTAAAATATAATGACTATCATTCGACATTAATTTTCCCATTAGACATTATTAAGTACTATTTAGGGAATAAAAAAGTTTAAGTCTTACATCGGAAAATGACTTATGTTATAGTCCTATTCAGTGCAAATTTCACATAAATTTTACCAACGATATGATGCTCGAAAACGTCAACCCAAGCGGACGCCAACAATGATCCTTCCTCTGGTGTCTACTTTTGACTGGACCGTGCCGCCTCGGTCATCGGCTTGTCTCCCTTCGGTTTGTGATTCTTCCGGCGTGCACTTTTTTTTAGTGCACTTGGTTCTGATTGAGTCTCTGGAACTAACTCCAAGTCTTGAAGATTCACTGAGATTTGTGTATCGCTCATCAATGGATTACCGCCGTAGGATCGGAAAATCCACATCGCTTCCTTGTTTGGCTTGAGACCAGATGAAAAAAGGTTAAAACCAAATGGATTTATGTTAAAAATAAAAAGAAATACTTGAATAACTATTTTTCAAGAAAGTGGAGAGAGAGATCTGTATTTGTGGTTGTGTTGAATTTTAAAAAAAATATATAATGAATTTATAAAGAAGGAATGTTTTAAGCTAACGACATTATAGCCATTGTGGAGAAGGGGATGGGGTTCTAATGGCTAAAAAGAGGTTGAAACATGCGTCAAACTTTTGACGCAATGAAGATGAAGGTCGCTTAGCGGGAGAGGGAGACGGTGTTTAATGTCAGGGCCTTAAAATCGAATAAAACGCCTCTCTCCGTTACACGTATTACGAGTGCTCTAATTGTATCCTAAACACTAGTATCACACCCGTGTGTTGCAGTGGTCAAATTTACGTTACAAAATTAAAATTATTTTCAACGACACGGGTTTAAAAATGCACTCGAAAGAAATTAATTTCGAAAACCTTTGTAAATGATCGTTTATATAACTATGAAAAGTTTTTGCTTATTCTATTTTCCTTTTTTAGAATTTTTATTTTTAAAATTATAATGTAATATTGTTGGCCAAATTACAAAGTTGGTGTTAGTTACCATCAACATTCCTTTTTTAACTCAAACTTTTAATTTATCAACATGTATTGATGATTCTTTCTTACTAAAATCGTGTATAAGAAAAAAAATTATTTAAAATACCTATAAAGTATAAATGGAAACACAACTGTAATTTTAATTTCAATACTTTAAGGTAGGAGAATATTTTTTTTGTTCAAGGCAACGTTTTCAATTTTTTAAAGATAATAATTTTTTATACACGGTAATCACAAAAAAAGAACATACCTTTATTATTATTATAATTATTATTATAATTATTATAATTATTATAATTATTGTTATTGTTATTGTTATTATTATTATTATTATTACATTTCTTATAATGAAGTTACCTTTTTTAGAATACGCATAAAATAAAAAAAGAAAATATTATTATTTTTTGATCAAATTTTTGTATTTCTTACTATTTCAACATTCCATTTTTAACTAAAATTTTTATTTATCAACGTGTGTTTAAAATTCTTTCTTACCAACACCGTGTATAAGGAAATAACTTTATTTAAATTAAATAAAAAGTATAAATAGAAGCACAACTATGATTTTAATTTCGATACTTTATGGAATGAGAATATTTTTTGAATTCAAGGCAACGTTTCATGTTTTTTTCAAAGACGGTAATTTTTTTATACACGGTAATCACGTAAAAGGAACATACCTTTTTAATATTATTATTATTACGTTGCTTTTGATGAAATTACCTTATTTATGTTGCTTATTAAAAGGAACATACCTTTTATTCCTCTTTGTCTCTAAATATTCGGGATCTGGATAAAACGGGTCGGGTTTGGATTTTCCTACTTTGTCATTATCTAAAATTAGATATAAAACTATAAAATACATAAGTGGGAGGAAACCCATTTTGACTTGCAAAATAATGAAAAAAAATATGTATTTATTTAGAATGTTTTAAAAAGGCCAAAACAATAGGCAAACATGAAAAAAAGTTACAACATACGTCAAAAGTCAAGATTATAAGTTTCATATAAATTATGAGCCACAAATTAAGGTTGATCGGGTTAGAACAATCTGGATTTTTAGGTGTTTCGTTCCTAGCCCATTTTTTAAATATTCGAATATGGATACTTTTTAGATCTATTTTGGGTAAATTAAAAATTATGATATTTTTTGTGCTATATCATTATATATATAAATACATTTTTTATTGATATATACATACAAACGGGACAACAAGAAGATATTTATGTGCCCTAGTTTTGTCCCATTTTGAAATGGTTCGGAACGAATTTGAGACAAAATTTTATCATTCCTAACAAAATATAAAATTACAAGGACGGAACCATGATATTTCGAGTCGGGATAACAATTTCGAGATTCTTGTCCACTCCTAATATTTTGTATCATTGTGAACGGTTAAAATACTGGTCATCTCTTTCGGTTACCCTAAGTAGTGTACCAATTACCATTGTACCCTGTTGTTAAATTATTGCATACCAATTACCAAGTGAGGTAAAATAAAACATAGTTGCAACAAAAAAAAAGATGGAACAAAAAGGCCCACAATTAATTTTCCTCTACTTCTGGAATGATGACTGTCAAACAGAGGAGCTCGGCAGTCTAGGCGCATACTAACTTCTTCCTCCTAATACACCTCTAATCCATAGGTTTATGTCAAACAATCAAAGGTCATGTTTTTTATGCAAATGAATGTGATAGTCAAAAGAGAAATGTCAATAACCGGAGAGAGTGTGAGATTTTGTAAGGACTTTCACATCATAAATGGTTAAAGGCTTAAAGCCACCACTCTTACCCAAATTTACTATGGTCCATTTTTTTCGTTTTAATTTTATCCTAAGTGTGAATGCAATAGTAATTTTAACTCAAATCTAGACATTGGAGTCATTAGTTAAGAAAAATGATATTTGTACCACACTTTTTGCAATCGACACTCCCAAATACAATTATAAAATCTATTCTAAATTGATGGGTGTATTTCACCCATGATCGGTCAAAAGACGGAACCTAATAGTTGACCGGTCAAACAGGAGGACACTTGAATCGTCAGTAAGAAGGTGGCTGATTGACCGTATAGGTGACCGGTACGCTTCTGACAGGTAGACCGGTCAAGGTTACTCCATCGTTTTGAACCAACTTCCGGAGTCAGTTAATCAACCTTCAAGAGCCAACCGGTGCAGTTTTTAGAGGTTGGAAAGCGTCGGCAGGGAGAATCCAAAAGAGACTTGGACTGTAGTGGTTGGCATTGCTGGGGAATCATTGGAGATGCCGAAGGAACATTTCCAAACCAGAACACGACAAGGGCGCAACCCCCCTCGCAAGATGACAAGGCAGCTCAGGACCAGTCGCCTCCCACCTGTGGCAGCGTGATCCCACGTGGATGCACGTGGTCTTGCCCCCCTTTAGCCTAGTATAAATACGCATGTAAACCTCAGAAGGAGGGATCCGAATTCATTCTTTCTAAACTCCCTTGTAAAAGTGACCGCGCATTCTCTGTGATAATATAAATTGGGCTACAGGTGTTCCACCTAAAGTCCTACTGGTCAATCTGCGTGTTTTTACCTTTCTTATTCTACCAAATCAAGCAAACTATTCTAGACCCGGTCTAGTATAGTTTGACCGGTCACGTAATTTACACCATCATTTTTGGCGCCGACCGTGGGACCGTTAAGGTTTCTTCTCTTCTAAACACAAGCCTACCCATGAAAACACCACTCAAAATGTCTTCCAGCCAACAAATCAACGCTACCTCTGCTTAGGTGCAAGCCACCACTGAAGGTACCAGCATCCCCATGGTTGCTACCCTGCCAGCCGTTTCAACTCCGGTTTTGCCGTTGGGACTAAGCTCGGTCCCAACACCCAGCATGGTCAGCCCATTCACGACCCCAGTCCCTTCCGCTGGACCGAGGGTCACGTTCCCGCCAAGCATGACCCAGTTCATGAATGACCCAGCCAACTTACAAGCCATCCAGGGCTTTGGCCAGGTCAAGGCCGTGTGTCAACAGAATGGGGGGATGCCTTTCCTCCCTGGCATGTTTCCATTCGCCCTTCCAGGCACCGGAACGATGCCCCTTCAAGCTCCGATGGCAGTGACTTCGTTCCAGACGCCGATACCGCAGCCATCACCTTTCCAGCTGCAGCTGGTCAGCACCATAGCCCCTGTCAACTTGGCTGGTGCACTCAACGCTGCAGGGCCGTCGCGTCCCCTGCAAGGTACGAATCCACAGATCACCCCTGATGGTCATTGCGTCTCAGTTGAGAGCGAAGACGGCGAGTGGGACATCCCAAGAGCCCACAAGAAGAAGGGAAAAACTATCCGGCCAGCCACTTCCCGAAACTCCGCCTTCGAAAGGCTGGGGGACAGGGAAGAGGGCCAAAGAAAGTCAGCCAAGCTAAGGCTGGGGCAAAGCGTCGCCCATGTCAGCGCGTTCGCCCGGCTAGGCGAGGTGAGGGAGGCCGAGCCTGCCCGTACTCAACGCTCCCGGTCAAACCGGCGGGAACCAGCAAGGACGAGGGCCTCTTGTCAAGAAGAGGAAGCAGAGAGCCAACCCAGGTTACCGGTGGCTAACCGGTTAACCATTCCCAATGATCGCGTCCAGCAGATGGAGGCAAAACTGGAGAGGCTGGAGAAGAAGGTTGGAGAGAAGAATGACCGGGATAAACCCCTCGCAGGGTCCCCATTCACTACAAGGGTCCTTCTGACACCTTTCCCGCGAAAGGTCAAGATCGACGCCCCGAGGTTCACCGGGAAGGAGGATCCGGAGATTCATCTGGACTCGTTCAACCAAAGTGCAACCATGAACGGTTGCACAGACGAAGAAAAGTGTTTGCTTTTCTTCCAAACCTTGTGGAATCGGGCCACTGAGTGGTTCAACAAGCTTCGCCCGGGGAGCATTGATTCGTTCAGTGATTTGGCCTCAAAATTCAAGGCCAAGTTCCAGGAGAACTGTACTAAGAGGAAGAAGTTCACCTATCTTAGTACAGCCGGGCAGAGGGAATCTGAGAACCTCACTCAATTCCTTACCCGGTGGAAGGAAGAGGTAGACAAGGTGGAAGAGATGGATGACAAAACCGTCTTGTCCCTTCTCTTGAATGGCCTACGTGCCAGGGAACTGTACAAGGAGTTTTGCCGGAAACCCCCGGCCACGTACCAAGAGGCCTACCACACTGCATGGGAGTTTGCTGAGGCTGAAACTCAACTCCGGGCAAAGAAAGAAGCTGAGCATGGCTTCAAACCCAAGCCGGTGCAGGTGAAGAAGGAAGAAGCACCGGAACTTAGCCAGCCAAGGCACCATTATGACCCGGTCATCCGCATGGTCAACACAGAAGAATGCCAGGAGGTAAGGAAAACACCGGCTTCCTTCCCGGTCAATCCTCCAGAAAATCCTACCGGTCAAGTAGGACGGCAGTGGTCAGGCACCTATTGTTCGTACCACAGGTCAGATTCCCATAACACTTCCGAATGCAAGAGTGTTAAGGGAGTAATCCGGCAAATGATAGACAGCGGAGAGCTGGGCAAAGATTATTTGCAAAAAGCCCAGGAGAAGAACCACCAGTGGGTCAGGCCAGCGACTCAAAGGAATGACCGGGACAATGACCGGCGGAGGAACAACTGGCAGAGGGAGCAGCAGCCGGCCATTAAAAAAGAACACATCGGCATGATCTTCGGCGGACCTGAGGGCGGAGATTCAGCCGCGCAGCGGAAGAACTGGGTCCGGAGCATTTACGTTGGTGAGGTAAGTGCTGAACCGGCCAGGCGTAAGCATACTAGGAGGGAGCCGATCGTCTTTACTGACCGAGATCTCCCTCCTACCGGTGAAGATCACAATGATCCACTAGTCATCACCATGGACATTAATGGGGTGGATGTCGCCCGGGTACTTGTTGGCACCGGCAGCAGTGTCAACATCTTATACCTGGAAACTTTCCAGAAACTCAGGTTGTGTCGGACACATCTTGAACCCCTCAAAACCCCTCTCTCAGGCTTCACGGGAGACACCGTTGAAGCTGAAGGATCCATAGTTCTACCGGTCGAACTAGGATCAGGGGAGAAGACCGTGTGGAAGAAGATGTGGTTCATTGTTGTGGACATTAAATGCGTCCACAACGCGATCCTTGGAAGACCAGGCATCAATAAGGTCGGGGCGGTGATTTCCATGCCTCACCTGTGCATGAAGTTCCACACTCCAGGTGGTGTGGGTGAGGTGAAAGGCGACCAGAGAAACGCCCGGGAGTGCTATGCACGGGCAGTCAAGAAGATGACTAAGGGGGTCAACGTCATCTCCCAAGAGATCACAAAGGGAGAGACCCGGGAGAAATTGGAGCCCGAGGCCGAGACGGTGGAAATCGAACTTCACCCGGGTGATTCATCGAGAATGGTCAGAATTGGAGCAAACCTCCCAGAAGATCTCAAGGCGGAGATTACACGGGTCCTCCAAGAATACGCGGGCATATTTGCATGGAGCGTGGCAGATATGCCTGGGATTGACCGCTCAATCATCTGTCACCGGCTGGCGGTAAGGGATGGAAGTCGACCGGTACGCCAAAAAAAGCGGTACCTGGCCAATGACCGGCGAGACTTCGTCAAGAAGGAAGTGAAGGACCTCCTCAATGTTGGTCACATCCGGGAAGTCAAATACCCGGATTGGCTGGCCAACGTTATCCTTGCTCCCAAGGGCGACACGTGGAGAATGTGTGTGGATTATACGGACTTGAACAAGGCTTGTCCGATGGATTCATACCCCCTTCCCAGTCCAGATTAAATGGTGGACGAAACTGCGGGGTGCGAACTCCTAAGTTTCATGGATGCCTTCAAGGGTTACCACCAAATCTACATGGCCAAGGAAGATGAAGAGAAGACGTCATTCCTCACACCCGAAGGAACCTACTGCTACCGGGTAATGGCGTTTGGCTTGAAGAACTCAGGAGCAACTTACCAGTGCATGGTCAACAAACTCTTCAAACCGCTACTGGGGAAGACCATGGAGGCATACGCCGACGACATGTTGATCAAAAGCCAGGTATCTCTCAACCACCCGGCTGATATGCGTGCCACATTCGATATCATGGCAAAATACAACCTACGGTTGAATCGTAAGAAGTGCGTCTTCGCGGTTCGTACCGGGAAGTTCTTGGGATTCATGGTGACCAAGAGAGAAATAGAGCCCAACCCAGAAAAAATCCGGGCCATCACTGAAATGCAAGCCCCTACCTCCGTTAGGGATGTTCAAAAGTTGACCGGTCGTTTAGAGGCCGTCAGCCGGTTCCTTTCCCGGTCAGCTGAGAGATCCCTGCCCTTCTTCAAGGTTCTGAAGAAGGCCAACACATTTGCATGGGACGAAGAGTGCCATAGGGCATTTGAGGAGTTTAAAGAGTACCTAGTGTCAGATATTGTATTGTCTAAACCCGAACCGGGTGAAACTCTGTATCTGTACCTGGGAATTTCCCCAAATGCTGTAAGCTCCGTTTTAATAAGAGATGATGGGGCACAAAAGCCCATTTATTATGTGAGCAAAGCACTAAACGGAGCAGAAAGTAGATACACGGCGATGGAAAAAACAGCTTACGCGCTTTTAATCTCCGCAAAGAAGTTAACATCCTGCTTCCAAGCTCACCCGGTAGAAGTCTTGACTGACCAACCGCTGGGTGCAGTGTTCCGAAATTCAACATCCTCCGGGAGGATGGTGAAATGGGCCATGATGTTAACTCAATTCAACATTGAGTACCGGCCAAGGTCAGCGATCAAAGGACAAGCCCTTGCAGACTTCCTTGTAGAAATGACCGGTCTAACTCCAGACCTACCGGTCGACAAGCCCACCGAGCAATGGTGGGAGATGGCAGTAGATGGGGCGTCCGGTCCTAAAGGGTACGGGGGTGGCATAGTGTTCACCACCCCGGAAGGTTTCAAGATCTACCATGCACTGGTCTTCAACTTCAAGCTGACGAACAATGAGACAGAATATGAAGCTCTAGCTGGAGGGCTCAGACTTGCCCAAGCCCTCAAAATGAGCCGGGTCAGTATCAAATCTGACTCTAGTCTGATTGTTGGGCAAGTGACCGGTAATATGGAGGCTAGGGAAGGACGAATGGCACGATACAAGGACCTGGTGCTCGCCCTGTTGAAAGGTTTCGAAGAATTCAAGATCGCCCAAATCCCCCGGGCTGAAAATGCGGATGCAGACCTTCTCTCCAAACTGACGCAGTATGCCCCCGAGCATGTTTCAAAACTTGCCCGGGTGGAAATCCTAAATCGAGCCAGCATTGAGAAATTGGAGGTCGCCGCCATAACGGCATCAAGCCAATCTGACCGGTCAAACCTGGTCGGGGCGGATGACCATTGGATGTACGATCTAATGGAATACTTGATGGACGGGAGCTTGCCAGAACAAGATGACCGGGCAAGAAAAGTGAAGCTCAAGGCACCTCGGTTCCAAGTCCTTGATGGAAAGCTGTACAAAAGGGCGTTCGGGGGACCTCTCCTGAGGTGCCTAACCAACCGGGAGGCGGAGCGAGTCATAGCCGAAGTCCACGAAGGCGTATGCGCGGCGCATCAAATGTCCCGTACGCTTTCCCAATGCATCATCCTATTGTGGTATTACTGGCCAACGATTGTCCAGGACTGTGAGAGGTACGTTCAGAAATGCAGAACGTGCCAGGTATTCTACAAATACCCTGGTAGACCGGCGACCTACTATCACCCCGTATCGAACGTCATCCCATTCGCTAGATTCGGGGTTGATATCATCGGAGCATTCCCAATTGCTCAAGGAAGGAAGAAGTTCGTGATCGTGGCCATCGATTACTTCACCAAATGGGTTGAGGCCGAAGCGTTGGCCAACATTACCACGCAACAGTGCAAGAAATTCATTTGGAAAAATATCATCACGAGGTTTGGAGCGCCCATGAACCTAATCACCGACAACGGCCCACAATTCCGAAATTCGAGATTCACCGAATACTTGGAGGGCTTTGGGATTAAGCACAATCGCTCTTCGGTGGCGTACCCCCAAGGAAATGGCCAAGTTGAAAACGCCAACCAAACGATTGTGGATGGTTTAAAGAAACGGCTGGGAGAAGCAGGAAACAAATGGCTAGAAGAGCTTCCACACATCATATGGGCATTCCGAGTAACACCCAGGAGGGCTCATGGGGAAACTCCATTCTCCCTAACCTATGGGTGTGAAGCAAGGCTGCCCATTGAAGCTGAATTCCCAACGTTTCGGGAATCAAATTACCAACCCCAGCAGAATGAGGAAGATCACTTGGCCGAACTCAACTTGGTCGAAGAGCGGAGGATGGCCGCGGAAGTTAAAATGAACACGTATCAACAAGTCGTGAAGAAATACCATGACAACAAGGTTGGACCACGTTACTTCCAAGTCGGTGATGAAGTCCTGCGAAGGAGGGAAGCTAGTAGACCGGGTGATGGAGGAAAGTTGGCCAATGACTGGGAAGGACCTTACCGGGTAAGAGCTATCATTCGCCCGGGGACCTACCGGTTGGAAACCCTAGAAGGTGTACCGGTAGAAAGGACTTGGAATTTCCCATCATCTTCGCAAGTTTTACAAATGATTGTAATAATAGGCGAGGCCTACTTTTATTATCAATCAAATTGATGGCATTCAACATCCTACTTGGCAGCAGCAAAAAAAAAAACAATGATAGATCGAACCTATCTTAGGAAGGCTTCCCGGGTGGATCGAATCCACTTGGATAAGCCAACTGAGACACAGGCCCGGACCTGGCACGCTGGTTACTACACCGGTTTTGCTCAGTATAATAGAAAAAATATTAAAACCCGGAAGAAGGGCCCGGAAGAGGGTATGCCTGCAAGAGGGCTGGACCTGGAAGAAGGTTCGAACCGTACTTACACGGGCCCATGAGGTTTGACCGGTATCGGGGAATCAGCCGGTACCATCAAATTGATTGGGGACTAAAAGATGCCCATTAAAAGAAATAGAAGGGGATCGTCCACCGAGGCGCATCCTGTTTCCCCCTTCTCAGGGAAGACTTGAACGGGGGGTGAGCTAAGGCCTTCCCGGGATGGTAGAAATCAAAGGGCCATTAAAAGACTTAATCACCCGGAAGAGGGGGCCCTGGAAGAAGGGTGCATTTGGACCTTGGAGAGGGTTCGAAACCATTCGAACATGGTTAAATTTCCAGTATTCTTACCGGTTAAGAATACTTCAAGAAATTACTAAGTTACAGGTGTTCCATCTACAACCTACCGATCGCAAAAAAAAAAAAAAA